ACAGGAAAGGTGCCAGCAGTCCCCCCGTGTCCGTCACGTGTCCTGTCAGCTGGCGTGTGCAGGACTTTACAGGGAAAGAAAGGCTAGTCCAGGTCCCTTGGGAGCTTGACGCCATTGTACTAAGAAGAGGAACTTAGGGACCAGCAGATGGCGTGATGGTTATGTTGCTGGACTCCCATGGAGTCAACCACGGTTCAAGTCCTGGACCCGGCAGCTTAAAACACAGCAGGCGTGTGTGTGCTCAAAATCCCAAGAGGAGAATGGAGGAGAGGGGATTTCAGCATGGTTATCCCCCTGGGGGGTGATTTGTCACGTTCTGTCTCTCTGTCTCTCTGGTGAGCACACATGCCCCATAGCAACAACAAACACTTAAAAAAAAAAAAAAAAAAAGAGGAGGGCCCTCTCCCCTGTAAATAAGTAACTCACCTACGGCATTCAGGTCTACACACCACGCCCGCTGTGGGGGACGCCCGTTCTTTACCTACGTGCCCTGGGGGAGGGAGGGCAGAGTGGTCTGACCTCCGACTTCCGACCTCTGTGTGGACGGTGTGGATTCTTCTGCCCGTAGTCACGAGGCTGATGCCATAGCACGCAGTAGGTCTCACGGTTCCCAGAGCAAACCATCCCAATCGTGCCCCTGTCCACACCTGCTCCCAGCGGCCCTTCAGGGGTTAGTGGGCTCGTCCCTTCTGCTCTATGGGGGGAACCACAGGGCCACTGTTCTGGAGGACAAAGGCGGCTGGGATTAGGAGTGTCCCACTGGACTTTGTCCCTCCTGCCCGGCCTCCGGGGACAGCACCCACTGCCCGCACTCAGTGCCGTGGGTGTGAAGGAGAGGCCCGAGCTCGGCGACCGTGGGAGCATGTGTGAGGGAGGTGGTGGGGAGGAGAGAGGGCTAACCCCACCATGGTGGGGTCTCCTTCTGGCCTTCCTTGCCACCCACTGCTTGTGGCCTCCAAGTGGGTTCTGCATTGAGATGCATCGATCTCAGCTATCCTGACCGACTGCAGACAGACATTTCTTTTCCGGTCACAGGGCTGTCTTGAAGCTGCAAGTCTAAGACTTTGCTGCTCATCGATGGCTAACGCAGGGACAGATGGCACCACTAGGGTAGTGACCAGGCTCTGGGCCAGGGGCCGAGAGTCTGGAGTTTGTTTCTTGCCCCGCCGTCAGCTCACTCTGACCTAGACGAGGAGGCGCTGAACCTCACCTGGGCGTCAGGGATGCTGCCCGCTGTCCTGCCGGTGAAGTCAGAGAAGGCAGGACAGGGCCGTGTATGCCGTGGCCGGTAAGAAACGGCGTGGGGGTTTCGGGGTGCTCTGTCCAGCTGCTTTGCCGTGGCGACCGTGGGCACGCTCGCCTTTCCTCATCATCAAGGATCAGGATGGTAAGTCTCGTCTCACGGCCTTGAGGCCCTCAGGTCTCATATGAAGGCAGCAAGGCTGGAGTAGATACCGTGACAGATCACGGGGACCAGATGGGGAAGGGTGGCAATGTGACCGTGACTCCTGACGGTGCCGCCCCGCTAAGCATGATGGGCGTCGGTCACCAGATGGCCAAGCTGATGGACAAAGCATCCAAATCACAGGATGACGAAGTCGGAGGTGGCCCCGCAGGGTGGCTGTCCTGCCTGGTGCCTCGGTGGAAGAAGCAGAGTGATTGCTGGACCGAGGGATTTGCCCCATCGGATGGTGGTGGCTATGAGCGGGCCGCCCGCATTGCCATCGAGCACCCAGACCAGAGAGCGACAGTGTCCTCGTCGACCCCAGCGACATCGAGCCTCTGATCCAGACTGCGAAGACCGCTCCGGGCTCCACAGTGGCGCACAGCTGTCCCCGGCAGACAGCCTGTCCTCAGTGGGACATGGAGCTGAGCGATGTGGGCTTCGAGCTCATCGAAGGGGAAGGCCAAGCGGGCGGGACGCTGAGGACGCGCAGTTTATCAAGGGCGATTGTGGACAAGGATTTCAGCCACCCGCAGATGCCAAAAGAAGTGGAAGATGCTAAGATTGCTATTCTCACGTGCCCGTCTGAGCTGCCTAACCCAAAGACGAAGCATAAGCTGGGTGTGACCTCCGTAGATGATAAAGCCCTTCAGAAATAGGAGCAGGAGGGAACCAGCAGTTAGTGTAATGGTCATGTCGCTGGACTCCCACGTAGTCGACCGTGGTTTGCGTCCTGGACCCGGTGGCTTAGAACTCACACTGGGCGCCTGTGCGTGCGTGCACAAGATCCCGAGAGGAGAATGGAGGAGAAGGGAATTGTGGTGTGGCCATCCCCCCTGGGGGGTGATTTCTCGCTTTCTGTCTCTGTCTGTCTGGTGAGCACATGCACCCTATAGCGAAAACCCCTAAAAAAAAAAGAAAAGAAATAGGAGCAGGAGACGTTTGAAGAGACGATCCAACAAATTAAAGACGCGGCGCTAACCAAGCTATTGCCAGTGCGGCTTTGACAATGAAGCGAATCACTTACTTCCTGAGACTGACCTGCCTGCGGCCCACTGAGTAGGGGACCCTGAGCTGATTGCCGCTGCGACAGGAGGGCAGCTGGTTCTCTGAGCTCACAGCTGAGAAGCTGGGCTTGGCTGGGCTCCTACAGATCTCATTTGGGACAACTGAAGACAAAATGCTGGTCACCGAGAAGTGTAAGAACGCCGGAGCCGTCACTGTTTTCGTCAGAGGAGGAAATAAGATGATTATTGAAGAAGCACTACCATCCCTTCACCATGCCCTGCGTGTCACCCGGAACCTTCTCCGGGCAACCGCGCAGAGTATGGAGGAGCCAGAAGGCAGGTAGTGCCCGACCTTGGGCCTTCTGCACCGTGCTGGAGGTCCTCCCCATGGCTCCGGAAGCCGCGTCGTGAATCCCACCCAGACTGTGACCGAAGTCCGAGCCAGACAAGTGAGGGGTGAGCCCTGCTCTTGGGAGCGACTGAATGCACAAGGGCGGAAGCGGTATGAAGCAACGACGCCTTGCAACACAGATGGCTGGAATGATTTTGAAGTCTGATGATATCTGTACACCTGGAGAATCTGAAGAATAAAACACTGAGAGTCAAATGTAAGATCCACTATGGTGATTAAATAAATGGGCGTCTTGTAAAAAGAACAAAAAGAAGTGGGTGGGTGGTTTACACTTTGAGCGTTAAGAGGTTGCTGTAGGGCCAGCAGGTGGTGTGGTGGTTAGGGCACTGGACTCCCAAATGGCCAACCACAGTTTGAGTTCCGGACTTGGAAGTTTGCTTTCTCACTTTCCTTCTCTCGCGCTCTGTCCCTCTGGTCAAATTAAACTAAATAAGTGAATAAAGTTTAAAAAAAAAAGTTGCTTTAAGAAATGTGATATGGGGGGGCCAGGATGTGGCGTGGTGGTTAAGGGTGTTGGACTCCCATATGGCCAACCATGGTTCAAGTCCCAGACCTGGTGGCTCGCTTTCTCACTTTCCCTCTCCCTCTCTCTCTCACTGTCTCTCTCAGATCAAATTAAAACAAACAACAAATAAAGTTAAAACAATTCTTTAAAAAAAAAAAGAAATGTGATGTAGGGGACCAACAGATGGCATAGTGGTTACGTTGCTGGAATTCCACGTGACTGACCATGGTTTGAGTCTTAGACCTGGTGGCTTGAAACTCATGCTGGGTGCTTGTATGTGGATGCCCGAAATCCCAGAGGAGAATGGAGGAGACGGGATTGTGGCATGGCTATCCCCCCTGGGGGTGATTTCTGTCTCTCTGTCTCTGTCTCTCCAGTGAGCACATACACTCTATAGCAAAAATACCTCTTAAAAAAAGAAAAAGTAATCCAGGGCTAGCAAGCGGTGTAGAGGTCGAGGTGCTGCATTCCCACATGGACAACCACAGTTTGAGTCCCAGACTCAGAGGCTTGAAAGTCATGCTGGGCACATGTGTGTGCGCCCGGGATCCCAGGAGGAGAATGGAGAAGGCGCTGAGGCGTGGCCATGCCCCCAGGGGGTGACTTCTCACTCCCCGCTTTCTCTGTCTCAAACCTAGACACAAAGAAAAGAACTGATACAGGGCCAGGCGGCGTGGTGGTTAGGGTGGCTGGATCCCACATAGATGACCGTGTAGTTCGAGTCCTGGACCTGCTGGCTCGAAACACACTGGGCACGTATGCATGTGCCCAAGGTCCCCGAAGGAGGGGAGATGGAGAGGGGGCTGCAGTGGGGCCGTGCCCTGCCGTGGCGGTGCTCTCCCACTTTCCTGTGTCTCCACACGGGGTGCACGTGCCCTCTGACAAAGGTAGAGACAGAGTGCGAGAACCCATGAGGAGCTCCTGACACCGCTGCGTGTGGGTGCTGGGAGGCCTGACGCTGGCTCTGGGGCAGGCGAGCGGCCAGCTGGCGGCATGAGACCGCCAGGCCGAACTGTGGACTGGATCCGGATTCTGATCCGGGGTGCACTCCGTGGTAACTCAGCACTCCGGAGAAACCCAGCTTGTCCTCCCGCGTGTAAGAAGACGTCACACCTGCCTGGATTCTCACCGGCCAGACTGATTTGCTCCCCTCTGCGCCGGACGCCACCCTGCCTCACCTGCCTGCCGCTTTCCTGCTCAAACCTTCAGCTCCACGGAGGGCCTGGCAGCCGCCCTCAGGGCCCTGAGCATGTTAGTAAGTGACCCTGCCCTCTGCGAGCTGGCAGCCCGGTGGGGTTGGGAACCACCTCCTCCCTGGCCTCCCTCTCTGGTGTGGAAATGCAGCGGAATGGCTGGAGCCCCTGGGAGGAGCGGAGCCGGCCCCTCTCGGGTTAGTCGATGCTGCCATCTAGGGGCGTTTCAGTTTCCCGCAGCCAGAGCCGACTTCAACTTCTAATCTGCCACCAGCGCTCAGTCTCCCTGGAGCTGATAGGGGAGCCCTGCTCTGCAGCCTGGCCAAGGACCAGGCACAGCTGCTCCGTGTGCTCCCAACGCCCCCTCCTGTGACAGTCACTCACTGCACCAGATCATAAAAAATAAATCTTTTAATTGTTCTGTAATTGGCACAGATGGTATAATTAAAATGCACATTTTTATTAATAGACTCTTCTTACATGTCGGACTATAGCTTTGATTCAAACAGTACAGGGATCTTAGTGGTTTCAGTTTCACAAAATTACATTCAGCAGCAGCTTCCTGTTTTGAAAGTTATTTCATAAGGTTAAAAATCAGGGCTTACATGAATAAGAGAGAAAGCCATGTTGAAAAGAACCCCACGAAGCCATCGGTCACGACTATGACACAAGGCAGCTGTGCTTTCCTGGGCTTGAAGATACCTTGTTCCATTATTAGCCATCAAGAGTTGCAGACTTTTTTTTTTTTTTAAAGAATTTACTTATTTAACTTCATTTATTTAATGACGGTGGTTGGCCACGTGGGAGTCCAGCGCCCTCAACCACCGCACCACCTGTGGAATCAGTGCTCACAAACGGTGGGGGAGCTGCGGAGCCCGCAGGGTGCTCCTCAGGGAGGAAGGTCAAGGCAAGGCCTGGCTGGGCCACAGGGCAGAACTGGCTCGGAGGAGACCTCGTTTCCGAGGTGTGGTGAGAGCCACTGGAGTTTGGCTTCAAAAATCATGGCAAAGGGGACTGTGGTGGAGAAACCCTGCCACTACGTTCTCATCGCTAGAAGGAAAAGCTTGAAGTCCTTCAGGATTCCAGGATGGCCCCACACCACGTCCATCGCCCTGTCACGGACAGGGTGGCCACAACACAGGCTGCCATCAGAGTGAGCCTGGAGCCTCAGGTGGGCCACTTGCACTGCCCCGCACGTGCAGGGCGTCCTCACGGCTGACTGGCGTGGGTGGAGACGGGGCAAAGGAGACTTCCTCCAGAGTGGCACGGGTGACGGACGGTGTCGTGGGAGCTGATGTCACAGGGGCTTTCCTACTCTGTGGGTGACAACTGGGAACCCCGATTCCACGATCACGGGCATCGGTGACCAGACTTTACCTGGAGAAGGCATCCAGGGACTGGCTGGTGCGCCGAGCAGAGCTCAGCACGGGATCCACTCCTTGCTGCTGCCTTACCGGCTCGGCAGAAATGCGTGGCGTTCTCGGGTTCGACCCAGAGCCGCTGCCCGAGGGAGCTGTGTCAGAGACAAGCACGACGGCTCCCTCCGCACGGTGGCCTGTGCGGGGGCGCGGGCTCAGTGGTCCTGCGTCACCCCCACGGGGGCCTGCAGGTCCGCTGCGGGCTTGTCCAGGGCAGGCTTCTTCGAGTAGTCCCGCTCTCCAAAAATGGTGCTTCCTATGCGGACGTTCGTAGAGCCCACCTCGATCTGTGGGAAGAAGAGAGAGTGCTGAGGACTGAATTTATGATGCTGCTTCTCGCCCGGCTCCACAAACTCGTGTAATGCAGCTGCCGTGGCCAGGGGCAGGGACCTCGGGGAAGTGTCACCTCCAAGGGGGCGCAGGAGCCGACAGGTATCCTTTGGTTTCCACAGTGGCTGGGGAGCACGAGTGGCATTTGGTGGAGAGGGGGCGAGGATGCTGGTGGCCCGCAGGGTGTGGGGCAGAGGGCACGGTGTGGGGTGTCTGGCGCCCGCATACCTTCCCGGTGTTGCTGGGTCAGGGAGGTGAAGAGCCTCCTTCCCAGCTGCGCACAGGACCCGACTCCACGCTCCCACCAGCAGCGGGGAGCCCGCACTGTTTGACATGCCCAGTCTTCCAGGGACCCCAGTCCGTGCCTGGACTGTTGGGACTTGGTCAAGTTACAGAAAAGCACTTGCTTCAGCTGCCGATGCAGCGTACGTGGCTTCCGCTTACAGACGTGCACCCACGCCAATCTACACTGAGCAGCAAGCCCATCTTTGTCACGGCTCACTGGGAAAATGGGGCAGAACTGGCTTGGGAGGAATTTCATTTTGTATCCTGCCTGAACATTTACATGACAGAAATTATGGGGCCTTGGGGCCAGCAGATGGCGTGGTGGTTAAGGTGCCGGACTCCCACATGGCCAACTGTGGTTCAAGTCCCAGACCTGGTGGCTTGCTCTCTCACTTCCCCCTCCCCTCTGTCTCTCTCTAGTGAGTGCATGTGCCCTACAGGAAATTAAATAATAATGATAAATAAAATTAAATCAATAATTTAAAAAAAAAAAAAGAAATTATGGGGCCGGCAGGCGGCATGGCGGTTAAGGGTGCTGGACTCCCACGTGTCCAACTGAGGTTCAAGTCCTGGACCTGGTTGCTTTCTCTCTCTCTCTCTTTCTCACTTTATCTATCTCTGGTCAAACCGAAATAAAGGAATGAATAAATAAAGTTAAATAAAATAATTAAAAAAAAGAAACTACAGTTTACTTTTAAAAATTTTTAAATTTCCTGTATGTCTAATTTTCCTTTAGATTAATTTAGAAAATTACAATGAGTTTAAAAAAAGTTAGGAATGGGGCCAGCAGGTGGCATGGTGGTTATGGCACTGGACTCCCACATGGCTGACTAAAGTCTTGAGTCCCAGACCTAGTGGCTTGCTTCCCCTCTTCCCGGCTGGTGAGTGCATGTGCCCTACAGCGATTAAATAATAATTAATAAAATCAAAAAATAATCAAGAGAAATTAGGTATCAAGGTAAAACTTTTATACACTCCATTAAAAAGGGGGCCTGGGGTGCAGCAGGTGGCATGCTGCTTTAGGTGCTGGGTCCCACATGGCCAAGCACCGTTCGTGCCCAGATCTGGTGGCTTGAAAACCTCACTGGGGGAACCAGCAGTTAGCGCAATGGCTATGTCACTGGACTCCCACGTAGCCAACCACAGTTCGTGTCCCAGACCCGGTGGCTTAGAACTCATGCCAGGCGCGTGCGTGTGCGTGCCCAAGATCCCGAGAGGAGAATGGAGGAGAAGGGATTGCGGCATGACCCTCCCCCCTGGGGGACCATCCCCCCTGGGGGGTGATTTCTCACTTTCTGTCTCTCTGTCTCTCTCTGTCTGTCTGGCGAGCGCATGTGCCCTATAGCGAAAACCTCTCCAAAAAAACCCAAAACAAACAAACAAACAAATCTCACTGGGCACGTGTGTGTGCATGCCCCAAATCCTGAGGAACAGGGAGAAGGGACTGTGTTGTGGCCATCCTCCCCAGAGAGGTTCCTCAGTTTCCTTCTCTCTGTCTCTCTCCAGCGAGTCCATGTGCTCTATCGCAAAACCATGAAAAACAAAAAGAAAGGGGGCTCAGGGTGAAGCTAGAACAGTGGGAGCCATGGGGACTGGAGCTCCACTCCGATGACACGTCCCACGACTTCCCAGCGAGGGTCCAGCTGCCGGGCCACAGGGCACTCACCGCGTGCTGGAAGTCCACGGACATGCCCATGCTCAGCTCCACCTGGCCGGGGGCCACGCTTAGCTTCTTGCACAACTCCTCCCGGAGGGACAGTAACACCTGTCAGAAGGACAAGTGTGACGGCCACGTTACTCCTGCCGCGGGGCGCCCAGAGGTGGCCGAGCTGGCACGTCCCCAACAAGTGTTATTCAGTTCACCTGCCTGCTAACTCCCACATTCAAGAAGATGGTGAGTCCCTGGAGAGGAAGAAATCTCATCTTCTCTAAAGGTTGTGTCTCAGTTGAATTCAAACTGGGTCGAGCCAAGTCTGGGGGCTTCTGGGGACCCTCTTCCCCAGGAGATGCGTTTGGTGGGGGTCATTGTGTCGCCAGGCATTGCCTGGGCCATGCACCACGACAGCCCGCCCAGACGGTGCGTCCCCATGGCACAGCCCTGCCCATCTGGGACAGCCCTACCTAGAGGCCTGGGTCACCCCTTCCTGAGGCCTGGGACACCCCTACCTGGAAGTCTGGGTTTGGTCCTTGACTGAGATCGTGGCCGAAGCTACCGATGGTCATCAGCCCCACGAACTCCAGGCTGGGGCACCTGGCGTTTATGTGCTCCACCACGGCTGCCGTCTCTGAAGGGTGAAGGCCATGCTTCCCTGCACAAAGGAAAACGGAAGACATGGCAGAGGTGGCGCAGAGCCGGAGGAATGCCCCTTTTCGCCCCTTCCTCCTCATGGAGGCGGTGACTCCCAGGCCAGAGGACTTCATGGAATGGCTTATTCTCAAGTCCTAAAGAGTAGCCTTGGGACCAGCAGATGGCATAGCAGTTACATGGCTGGACTCCCACGTCCATGGCTGACTGCGGTCTGAGTCCTGGACCTGGTGGCTTGAAAATCACACCAGGCATGTGTGTGTGCATGCCCGAAATCTCAAGAGAACTGAGAAGGAGAAGGGAGGACTGTGGTAGGGCCATCTCCCCCAAGGAGTGATTTTCTCCCTTCATTCGCTCTCTCTCTAGGAAGGGTACTCATCATTTAGCAAAAAAAGAGAAAGATACAACAGGCCATGGCGTGTTAAAGACATGACACGTGGCCTGGCTTGTACACCAGAACACGGACAGGATCACACATGAAACAGCGTACGTAATAAAGGCCCTGGCTTGCTCCTACCGCCTTCTCTGCCATTGTTCTGGAGCTCCCACCAGCCTCGAGGAAGAGGAACCTGCAATTCCGGACTGGTCACTTACTCTCCTCTCCACTGGTGTTAATCTGGACCATCACCTTTAACCTTTCGGGAGAACCTTTCTTCTGCCAGGAGCTGTTCACTTTGTCTGCCAACTTCACGGAATCCACTGTTTCCAGCATGGAGAGGTTGGGGACCGCTGCAACGAGAAAGCAGCATTGTCTGCGCCCCATGTGCGTGTGGACAGAGGTGGCCAACAGGTCTCTGCCCTGGCGGAGGGGAAGGACCCCGGGGCCAGCCCTGCAGTGCGGCTGTCAGGTGCTGCACATGGCGAGCACACAGCCCAGCGCAGCTCGGGTTCCACCCCCGCAGCTGGAGAAGCATGCTACACGCGTGGATGTGCTTGCCCCAAATCCTGAAGTGAGGAGAGAGAGAGGGACTGCAGGGACCAGCCCCCTTCCTTCTGGTGACTGCATGCACACTGTACTAAACAGAAACAGAAAAGAAATCGGTGACGCTGTACTTCTGCTTCCCCTTCCTAGTCTTGCTGTTATTGCTCCATGTGATTTAGTTTTACATAAACCCCACACACATACTATCTGCCTGCATATATGACCATATGCTATGATAGTAAGAAAAAGCTATTAATTACCGATCTCCGGATGGGAGAGCTGACACCAGTACAGATTAAACAGATATTAAAATAATAATAAAGGGACTTCGCTTATGCCCACGAATTCATCAGCTTTGATGAAATGGATTAAAACTCCTTGATTGACACAAAGTGGCCAGGTTCACCCAAGAAGAAACAGACCATGTTTTAAACTATAGTTAGAACTTAAACTATAGTTAAAAACTTCCCCACAAAGAAAACTGCTTCACTTGTGAATTCCGCAGGTAAGGAAGAGGAAGAGGTAACAGTGATTCCAAACAAACTCTTCCAAACGACTGAAGAGGAGAGATACTTCCTGACTCACTTTATGAGGTCTGGTATCATAACCCTGGTGGACACATGCGCCCTATAGTAAAAACCTCTCCAAAAAAATAAACACATTGAAGAAAATGACCAGATAAAGGAAAAGGCCAAAGAGAAAGGGACCTGGGTTCCACCAAAGCACCAGCCTGCTCCACCCAGAGAAGTCACTGTGTGAGAACCAGTGGAAAGGAGCCTGAGCTTCTGGAACCTATTCCCTATGAATTCACGGCATAATAACTACTAAAAATAAACAAACTCTGGACTATAAAAATGTTCTTCTTAATCGAGTAGAATTATGCCCTTCCCCCAAAGCAAACTTTAATTAGGTTCTAATTCATTTTGTAATACCTGTATTTAAGTTTAGCGGGTTTCTAGTTGAAAGATGTAATGTAAGATGGCTTATTGTGCAACAAACAAAGCTCAGTTGGTTAGAGAAAAAATAAGTAATACTGGTAGAGCCATAAATTTTTTAAACTATAAAGAGTCCTTTTTTCTCCTATTTCCTTTAAATAGATAAAAGACCACAGCAAGTAAAAGGCAATAATATACAATAAATAAAATATCATAAAGTAGAATTAAGAATTAGCTACAGTGAGTCACCGGTGGCCTGATGGTTAAGGCGGCTAGATCCCCACATAACCAGGTATGCAGTTTGAGTCCCAGACCCGGCGACTTGAAAGACACACTGGGTGTTAAGGCACATGGCTGACCGTGGTTCGAGTCCTGGACCTGGTAGCTTGAAAATCACACTGTGCGCATGTGTGCCCAAAATCCCAGGAGATGGGGGAGAAGGGATTGTGGTGTGGCCAATGTCCCTCAGTGGTGGTGGGGGGTGATTTCTCACTGTGTGTGTCTGTCTTTGGCAAGCCCATGTGCCCTACGGCAAAAAAAAAAAAAAAAAAGACATGCTAGAACTTAAACTATAGTTAAAAACTTCCCCACAAAGAAAACTGCTTCACTTGTGAATTCCGCAGGTAAGGAAGAGGAAGAGGTAACAGTGATTCCAAACAAACTCTTCCAAACGACTGAAGAGGAGAGATACTTCCTGACTCACTTTATGAGGTCTGGTATCATAACCCTGGTGGACACATGCGCCCTATAGTAAAAACCTCTCCAAAAAAATAAAAGAAGAAAAGAAAATGACCAGATAAAGGAAAAGGCCAAAGAGAAAGGGACCTGGGTTCCACCAAAGCACCAGCCTGCTCCACCCAGAGAAGTCACTGTGTGAGAACCAGTGGAAAGGAGCCTGAGCTTCTGGAACCTATTCCCTATGAATTCACGGCATAATAACTACTAAAAATAAACAAACTCTGGACTATAAAAATGTTCTTCTTAATCGAGTAGAATTATGCCCTTCCCCCAAAGCAAACTTTAATTAGGTTCTAATTCATTTTGTAATACCTGTATTTAAGTTTAGCGGGTTTCTAGTTGAAAGATGTAATGTAAGATGGCTTATTGTGCAACAAACAAAGCTCAGTTGGTTAGAGAAAAAATAAGTAATACTGGTAGAGCCATAAATTTTTTAAACTATAAAGAGTCCTTTTTTCTCCTATTTCCTTTAAATAGATAAAAGACCACAGCAAGTAAAAGGCAATAATATACAATAAATAAAATATCATAAAGTAGAATTAAGAATTAGCTACAGTGAGTCACCGGTGGCCTGATGGTTAAGGCGGCTAGATCCCCACATAACCAGGTATGCAGTTTGAGTCCCAGACCCGGCGACTTGAAAGACACACTGGGTGTTAAGGCACATGGCTGACCGTGGTTCGAGTCCTGGACCTGGTAGCTTGAAAATCACACTGTGCGCATGTGTGCCCAAAATCCCAGGAGATGGGGGAGAAGGGATTGTGGTGTGGCCAATGTCCCTCAGTGGTGGTGGGGGGTGATTTCTCACTGTGTGTGTCTGTCTTTGGCAAGCCCATGTGCCCTACGGCAAAAAAAAAAAAAAAAAAAAAGACATGCTAGGCACATGTGTGTGCATGCCCAAAATCCCAGCGTGGCCATCCCCTGGGGTGTGCTTTCTTACTCCCCCAGTCTCTTGGGCAAGCACACGTGCCCTATAGCAAATTAAGAAATGGAAAGAAATCACCCCTTCCAGGAAGAGGGCCACATCACAATCCCTTTCTCCTCCCCTCTCTCAGGATTTTAGGCATGTGCACACACACCTGGCACGTTTCTCAATCCACCAGGTCCAGGACTCAAACCCATCCGGCCATGTGGGATCCAGCCACCTTAACCTCCACTCTGTGTTTGCGTTTTCTTTCTTTTTTTTTTAAAGAGATTTTTTCACTATAGGGTGTGTGTGTGTGCTCACTGAAGCGACAGATAAAAACAGAAGGCGAGAAATCACTCCCCAGGGAGGTGGCCACACCACAATCCCTTCTCTATTCTCTCAGGATTTGGGACACACACACGCCCAGCATGAGTTTGAAGTCACTGGATCTGGGACCGGAACCAGGTTCAACCACATGGGAGTCCAGCAATTAGTCACCATGCCATCTGCTGGTCCCATCTACATTTGCATTTTCTAGAGTTTTCTACAAATGAAACTATAAGCTATGTACTCTTTTTGTCTGACTTCTTTCACTGAGCTTGTTTGAGATTTGTTACATATGAATGAACATATCAACAATTCATTCTTTTTTTTTTTTTTGAGAGGTTTTTGCTACAGGGCACCTGCACTCACCAGAAAGACAGAGAGACAGAGAGACAGAAAGTGAGAAATCACCCCCTGGGGGGATGGCCACACGGCAATCCCTTCTCCTCCATTCTCCTCTCGGGATCTTGGGCACGCATGCACACGTGCCCGGCATGAGTTTAAGCCACCGGGTCCAGGACGCGAACCATGGTTGACTACGTGGGAGTCCAGTGACATAGCCGTTATGCCAACTGCTGGTCCCTACCTGGTCATTTTCTTTCACATGTTTTAGGGAGCGACCTCTTCTCTCAGAATGCTTCGTATGCTCAACATTCACAGTAATCCTCTTGGCAAGCATTTTGCCCTTGTTTGTCTATGTCAATGCCAATGCATGCTGGGGACACTGTGGACTCTCCCAGTGTTGTCACGGTAACATTTGTGGGGTCCTTTGTGAACTGTACCCATTCCCTTGAAGTCTATGGTATCACCTTTCTTGTAGGTCCACATGTCTGCTGCCAAAGGAACCATGCTGTGTTTTCTAAATGGCCCGGAGAACATGCATCGGCTGCCGAGAACATGCATGGGCTGCCTCTCCTCTTGCCCTGTTTGCTATTTTGGTGAAGTACTGGAAGACGGCCGGCCATAGGGAAGCCTACAATTCTTTATAACTTATCTGAAATGCCTCCACATACTTTGAAAAATCACCAACTAATAATGAACACAAGGCAGGGTAGGTCTCCAAGTACACATGACCCGGTCAAGCATAAATCTGCTCTGTTGTTTTCTCCTATATGAAGAACTGAGACTTCCCCAAAACTACAAAACCCAAATGGTGAGTAATCTAGAAGTGGCTCTCCCGCAGAAGGCGGTCTAAGCAATACAGTGACGGAGAATGTGTCCTCGTATTAGAATTGTCTTACCCATCAGCTTGTTGACATTCTGCTTCTGCAGGTGGCCGATGAAATGCCATTTGATCTCAGGACAGGAAGACAGAAGCTGAAGAGAAAAGCGCCCCTGTTGGACTTGGATTTTCCGGAGGCCTGACTGCGCACACCCTGCCCACCCTGTGGCCTTTCATGTCTCGGCTCCGTTCCTTACATGGGTAAGCGGCTAGGCGATCGCCTCCTAGCCAGAGGGAAATCGCCGGCCCTGCTGCTCCTCTTCCCGTCCCCATCAGTGGCCTGTTTCTCTTATCTCACCCACTAAGGCTGAAGTGGTTCAAGTGCTCAACTCTCAAAAGAATCAACCTGACAGCGAGCTCTAAAAACTTACCATTCCCAACCACAAAAGAGAAAATAAAAGGTCAATAAAGAAAGAGAACTGAGCCGAGAACTGGGTGAAAATAGACATTTCCGCCCCACACCCACTGCCTGCTCTAAAACCCAACTCATTCTAGTTCTGAACAGAATGGCCAAGGTTTAGACGCAAATGAAGGAATTCCGACATCACTTACTTCAGGGTTCGAAGCTTTTTCTAGCAGCTCCTGAACCTAAAGGGCACAAACAGAACACTCAGAAGCCTGTGAGCCGGCCCTCCCCGAGGCCCCTGGAAAGGGCTCTTACATAGTTCTCCCCGAAGGTGCGTTGGCCGTGGCCATAGGCTTCGATCACCATGTCCACAGGTTTGGTCTTGCTGACTGCAACCACCCGGGGCTGGACGGCCGGGAGATCCTGCCGAGAGGAAAAGGGGCACATGAGTGACGTTGGGGACACTAGCCCAGTACACTGTCCCTGCAGGAGGGGTTCTGCAGATCAGCACAGACCTTACCTTGGCATCTGATGAGACCCCTTTTCTGACATTACAGAGAGACCAATTTCAAATAATGGCAAACTAGTACCTTTTTTTCCTTAATTTATTACAAGGCTGCAGTTTATTTACTGTCACAGGGCGCATGTGCTCGCTGGACAGACAGAGAGAGGGAAAGTGAGAAGTCACCTCCGCAGTGATGGCCACGTTGCAATCCCTTGTCCTCTATTCTCCTCTCAGGATTTTGAGCATGCATGCACATGTGCCCAGTGTGAATTTCAAGGTGCTGTGTTCAGGACTTGAACTGTGGCTGGCCATGTGGGAGTCCAGAGCCTTCACCACCATGCCTCCTGCTGGCTCCAGCCCAACATCTTACGTTTATGCGTGTCCTTCTTCCATGAGAGAGGAAGACAGAGACACACCCCCAACAGGGTCTTCGTGTCACTATCCATTCCAGCTTTGGCCAGCCGGGACCTTCCTACAGGGCCCCAGCCTGTGGGAGATACCTGAGGCCGTGCCACCACAGCCGGCCACAAGTCTTTATATGCCTGGTATCTCGACAACTACCTTAGTGTCGGGCAGAAGACACGCTCCCTCAGGAGGGCGCTGAGGGAGAGCAGGGGCCCGGTGTGCTCTCTGACCAGCGGCACAGCAGTGCCTGGGCCCGCTCCAGAGCTGCTGCACCCAAACCTTGGGGCAGGGGCTAAGACTCTCCTTTTCAACGAGCTCTTCAGGGAATCCTCTGCTTGAAGCTAGAGGGTTAAGAATCACCTCATGGGGGCCAGCAGATGGCGTAATGGTTACATTGTTGGACGCCCATGTAGCCACCACGGTTTGAGTCCCGGACCTGGCGGTTTAAAACTCATGTGGGATGTTGTGTGTGTGCCCCAAATCCTGAGAGGTGAACGAAGAAGGGACTGCAGTGTGGCCATCTCCCGGGGGTGACGTCTCACTTTCTGTCTCTGTCTCTCCGGCGAGCACATGCACCCTATAGCACTCCCTGATGAGAACGGAGGACACTTCTGCCTCCAAATCCCCAAAGTTATTAAGTTTGGGAGACTCCGTCTAGCCGTGGTGTAATTAGGAATGTTGGCTCCTCAGGATAACTATGTAACTTATTGTTCAACTACCCTGGCTCAGGGTGAGCCCTGCTGACCTCCGCAGCCCTCACAGAGAGCAGGGTCTCCCGCACCTGCTCCAACCTAACCCGCAGAAGCAGTTAGGGACTGTCCTCCTCCCCTGGCCCATTGCCCCCGGAATTGCCAGGTGCAATTTCCAGCGAGGGCCTGAAGGAGTCTGGTCAATCAGCACGGGGTCTCTACTCCCTCCTGCTGAGGGCTGTCACCAGCTGCTTTTATTAGTTAGCAATTCTTTGTTTTTCTTTTAAGAATTATTATATTTAACTTTATTCATTATTACTTTCCAGTTTGATCAGAGAAAGTGAGAAAGTAAGCTACCAGGTCCAGGATTTGAACTGTGATGGGACATGTGGGAGTCCAGTGCCTTTAACCACCAAACCACCAGCCGGTCCCTTGCTTTTCTTTTTTTTCTTTTTTTTTTAGAGACAAGGTCCAGCTCTCCCTATGTTGCCCAGGCTGGTCTTGAACCAGAGCTCCTCCTGCCATAGGCTCCCCAGCCGCTAGGATTACAGGTGTTCACTAGGTCTATGAGACCATGACCTAACTCCAGGAGCGTGTGCACGAGTTCGCTTCTGGAGACAAACGCTGACTAGGCTGCCCAGCCCCGGCCGGAATCCCCAGAGAGGTTATTAGGGAATCCCTAGGTTTCTCCTGGAGGATCATCGACCATCAACGCCTGCAAGGAGCTCCCAGCTTCCAGAGCGTTCCTGCCTGTGGTCAGGAAACAGGCCCAGAGTAAAGCGGTGGCTTGACCAAGGTAACAGCATTGCACTTAGCAGCCAAGGAAAGACTGTCTCGGGCCGGCACGTCCTGACACCACGAAAGCTTGTGTCATTCCACGCCCTTCAGCCTAGAGCTGCACGGAGGAGGGCAGATAACGACTGCTATCACACCCACGGGAGACCACATATACAGGGAAAGGGGTCATCCCCGCGACGCTGGGGACTGGATGCCAGCCAACCCGAACGCGCAGGTGAGCTCGGGGCCTGCAAGTGCGGCCGCAGCGCGCAGCGGGCCTCGGGTGGGGCTGACCTTCGCTGGAACCCCTGCGGCCGCACACGGGCCCTCGGCGCCGGGCGCCGGG